TTTTCTGCCAAAGCTCAGACTCTGGCACAGGATCGGGAACTTGGCTGTGACGCGACCCGAAAGAAGCGGCCACGGACGATGAAGATGAAGACGTACTCTGGCTGTCAAATCATCTGAGAAAGTTTTCAGTTTTCTTCTTCATCTTCCATGGCCGCTTTTGCTTTTGAGTCGTGGAGGCAGACGCGTCAGACAGAGCTTGCAACGTTTCCGATCCTATGCAAGAGTCTGAGCTTCGGCAGAAGACAACTGGATTCTGGAACAGACTCCTTCTACATATTTGCAACAGGATAATCTTGGCCGTCCTCTGGGCATTCTGGCGGTCAAGTTTTCAATTTTCAAGTTATTTAAAACAGAACTTGAGGGAAACTAAAATATAAGAAGCGCTCACCAAAGTGGAGTCGACAGAAGGCCGGTCTCCGACGCAAAGAACATCCCCCAGTGCATCGTAGTGTGCACGGAGGCGCTGTAGAACCCTCTCATAATTTTGGAAGGCGGCTCTTTCACATTCAGCGGCCTGTGATAACACTTTCGCTACATGCAGTACCGTCTGATCAAATCTGACCAGTTGCTGTCGCACCTTATCCAAGAGAAGAGTGTTGTCTTTCAACCACTGGGTAGCAGTTGATTCCATCCATGGCTTCAAATGTTCCTGACTGACGCCAATTAGTGTTTCGAAGTCCTGCACAGCTGTAAAATACAACAGTAAGCAGCACATTAGTAAAAAATAAAGTAAATCGAATAAGATAACATGGACCACAAAATATACTTTCCTTACTTTGCAAAACAAAATCAGCTGTGCTTAATGCGGATGCCGTTTTTGACAACACTGTTCAATGTCTCCACGGAGGAAATTTTCCAGGATGCGCTTGAAGGGTTCATCCAATTTGCTGACATTTTGCATGTCAATATTAAATATGAACCGCAAACTTGTAACCTATGTATCTGTCAGTCATCTGCCTCCATTCCTTTCTGATTTCTTTAACTATTTAAATGTTAATGGAAAGCTTACTGTGAGCATAATACGAAACGCATGCGAATGAAGGAAATGAATGAATTAATGGAAATGCAGGAAAAAAATAGGAAAATAAGCAAGTATCGGGATATGAATCTTCCTATCCTTAAAGTATCACGACTGGACACTATCTGTTTGCATCCTTTTCATACAGCTTGATGCGGTGCTAATCTCCGCTGCTGTATCATCAGCCAATAATAATAAGACTAAATCTAAAACATTGTTGACAACAGTATGTAGTCTTGTGTTCTGTTCGTATGAAGTAGTTTATCTACCTCGGAAGGAAAATAAAGTACACAACCGGGACCCGACCCTAGAATGTCATGATACCGAGGTCAGCAACTATAGCCCATAACTCAGAAACAAAAAACTAAGTTTGAAAATGAAAAAATCAGGACTGAATAAAAACATTATACGCATTATAAAAGCGTATCTGCAAAGGTATACAGTATAAATAAAAAGCATGTAGCTTACGGCAATTTCTGTGAAACTTTATCACACAGTCAGCACAATAAATCGCACCGTTACACCGCTCGCATTTGAACATATCCGACACTCTAACGATTTCTTCGCAATTCGGACACTTCATTGTTGCAAGAGAGTGAAAAGTGCCGACCAGAGACTGTGTCGCTCGACTAAGTTGCAGGTTGGAGTTGATCTCGCCCGCGTTACAGGTAGGGCATTTCCGCTGGTTCCTAGCGATCATTTTCTCGACACAGTCGCTGCAGATACTATGGCCACAAGAGAGCACCATCGGATCGCTGTTGGTGTTCATACATACTGGGCACTGGATCAGTTCCAACACCGAATTCATTGCGTCAAAATAATGTGGAAAATAGTTATACTATATGAATCGAGACCTGAAACAGCTTTTCAACATGAGGCATTAAATTAAACCTTTCGTGTATGACTAATCAAGAAGCGGACAGAAAGGAGTAACAGTAATATCGTTGATGGTTTCATAAGAAGGACAAATTTAACGTAAAGACGTCGGATTAGTTCCAGATTTTGAAAGAACACTGACACTCACTAGTTCACAGACAAAGAATCGGACGACATACAGGAGATTCAATTCACATGGATTACTCATATATCTTGATGAAGTATATATCCGTCAACACTTCTAACTTTTTAGCTGCTCAGATAAAACCATCACATAATCCACACCGCAGTGGAAACCAGGAGGTAATTAAAAAATAAAATGTTCAGGTAAATCTTTCAACACACCAGCGCTAAGTAGAATTTTATGGAGAAAACATAATTATACTACAAGACTACACTATGGTAAAAGGCATCAGACTCTGAATGGCTGAGATTTATAACTAGACAGAAAAGTATCATTTAAATTAAATTTTATTGGTGAAATGACATTTAGGGCACGAAGATCATCACGACTGGCATATGCAATCTCCGAACTGGAAACCATAACGCCACCCTAGCTGGGTCATCAGAAAGGCGGTTTTCCATTCAAGCAGTCTTTTCGGCGTCCAAAGCTCGAATCGCATTAAATTCCAGTTAAAGAATTTCTCATTCGGTGTGAAACCACCTTCAACAATGGCCTCATTTCATTGTTATAAGGAAACAAGCTTAGAAACAAATGTCAGAATGAGAAGAAAAAGTTTTAATAGAAGAATTCACCGAAACTGGCAAAAATAACTGACTGTTAACCACAAGAAGCGGCACAACCCAGTCAAGACTGTAAGTTACAGTGAAAGATGATTAACACGTTACACTAACGAACATTACTCATTTTTCTCAACCCACGTTATTATTTTAGTCATTTAACGCAAACAAGTTAATACGTTAACATCACTACTAATTTTCAGTGAATCACAAAATAATTACTCAAATTTTGGCTATTCACATAGGGAATGCAAATCGGTCAAAGAAAGTTTACGTCATCATTGACGCATCGCTGGAATAACATACTGGTTCCGTCCCGTATTATTCCTCGCGGTAAAAAGTTACTACCGCACAACTTTGCGCCTTTTCATGATTCTTCTCATTTTTTCCGCTTGTTTAATGTAAAGTTGGAATATCGATCTTTAATACACTTTAATGATGGGAGCGTTCTGGCCCTTCCTTTCATCAAGTCATCAAGTGGTGCGGCGCTGGTTTCCAGTTCCATGCCATCAGCCATGAATGTCTT